TGGAAGAAAAACCTAGTGGTCTGTCAGTGCCCAACACCTCAGGGATTTCAGTGAAGCCTGGCAGTAGTGAAATTCTTCTGAATAATTATCCTCTAAGACTTGAGAAGGGGCCACAGTATTCCAGTTTTAGCCTGATACAGTGATTCTGGACTAGATTGATAGACTGCTGATGTTTCGTTTGTACCATGGCCGTACTCTAGTCTTTCTGAAACCAAATTGCTTCCTTACTAAAGACTTTGCTTGTTTAAAAACAAAACAAAACAAAAAAACTCCCATCTCACCTGTTTTATGAAGCTATTTGGATTACGGTCCCTGGTTATGCCCTGCTTCATTTTTTTGTCATCAGTGGGGATATTTCCGTCTCTTATTATTAGAGCTCTATGCTCAGTGTTGTGCACTGTAGTTGCTTGGCGTACTTGTCGGGGGCAATACTTCTTAATGGATTGTGTCAGAGGATGGGAATGGCCACAAACTCCTTTTCTGTTTGTCTGAGTATAAGTGTAGACTTACAGAAGGCTCTGTTAGCAATTATCTGGACATGCATGCTTGTTTCTTGAAAATTTCCTGTTTTTATCTTATGTAGTAGTTTGCTGTATTTAATTTATTTTCTCAAAAAATTGAAAACTCAGTTTTAATGCAAATGGATTGGTGCTATTACCACTTTCATTCTGCAGCAAAATACTGTATTTTCTTGTTAATGCTGTTTGGAGGGAATTGTTTTGTTTCTTTTTTAAAAATAAAAATTCAAGCACCTTTTAAATGCTTAATTGCATCCACTGTAATAGCCAACGTAGGAGTCTTGGTTAATCCAGGTTCAGGAGCTGATTTATCTGGGCTGTTGAAGTCGTATGACAATAAGGTAATGGCCAGATATGGAGGTGGTGTGTAAACTGGCATATATGAGACCTCTCTGTGCTCTTATATTGTATTAGCTGCCCACCAACAACTTCACACCCACTCAGTTTACACGTAAGGGAAGCTAGGGCGGTGTAATTTACACAGTGAGAGGAGCTTACCATGTAAGCATTAAGAACGTATAATTGAAATGCACCTCACCCTGTTTGAACTTGCTTCTTTTTTTTCTGTCTTGCTCTGTGTTTGTACTGTGTTTGATACCGTAGGCCATGGCCCTTGTTGGCATGACTAGGTATTTACCAAAATACAAGTTTGCATCTTCAATTGATGTCGTAAATGTTGCGGAAAGGAAAATTCACTTGAATTTGGGAATGGGGCAAAAGCTCTAACGTACCTGGAAGACGTCTGCAGGAAGATTTCAGGGGAACAGAGCAAGAATGAGTGTTTTTTGGAAACTGGTGCTGGCTCTAGAAATGACTTGGCAAGTGTATTGCTGAGGGAGCAAGGAGAATTGGGATTTAGAGAGTGCTTCAGCCTGTATGCTGATAACTTGTTTTCATGTAGGTAGCTCTTGCCACTGAAGAAACATCTTGGTCTCTGGTTTGCAAACTCATCACCCTTACAAGTAGTCTAAGGTTGAAAAAGCACCTGTTTAAATTATTTAATTGCAAAAGAATGATAGCATCAAGAAAACTGCGTCATTGCCCTAAGAAAGTGAGTGAATAATATGATTTTTTTTTTTTAACTGCACTGGACAGTATGAGGACTATTCTAAGCAAAAGGAAGAGTTGTGTCAAGCTTTCTGAGAGAGTACAAGAATATTTGTATCATTACACTTGCTTGGAAAAAGACTGCATTTAAAAGACATAAGCTTGATGCCCAGTAGCAAGCGTATAGGGCTTTACTTGTAGCTTCCTGTTAAGTGCTCACATTGCTCTCTAGTTCTCAAGAAAAAAGTCTCAGTGAAGCTGCAGCAGACTGGGACGTGGTGGTGTCAGATGCAGTAACCGAACAGAGAAGCTGTTGTACAAAGCCACATAAGCTGAGTTGTTATTTTTTCCCATAGTCCCTTCTGAAAAGTCACCCAAAATTTCCTGTGCAATTTTATTTGTCTAACTAATGCATCATGGAGCTTGAATCCATGCCACTAAATCCTATACACCTTGAAAGAACTTGTTATAAAGAAGCTATATTTATATATATACATGCACACACACACACGCACGCACACACAACACCTATGAAAGCACCAAGTGTTGGAAAGTGTACAGGCTGTATAATATCACTAGCAATGAGTTTGTCACATGAGCTGTGGCACTAAGTCTTAGGGCAGCGGAGCTAGCTCTGTCAAATACTCTTTCAATGAGAGCTAAGTGTTGATGAGAAAGGGATAAGAGGTCACACCTCTTTCATAAACTCTAAGTCCTTTCTTTAATCTAACCTTTCCAGTTATTAATTAACTATTAAGGAGTGTCCTCCCTTCCCTCTGTGGCCCCTTCAACCCTGAATCTCATTCTCCCTAATAAGACAAAGGCTTTTTTGTTTTTCCTATTGAAAGACTTTAGTGGATGAACAATAATTAACTTGTCACGTCAATGCAGGGTAGGAAAAGAAGGACATTTGGTTCTTTTTGTATTATTGTCAGGTTGGGGTAGTCAAAGATGACAGATTAAATTAGACCACTTATTCCTCCCAAGGAGCAAGAAATACAGTATCTCACTCTGGGCGTGTGGGACCTTGAGCACTTCCTGCGCTACAGAGAGGAAAGCTGCCCAATATGTGATACCATCACTGACTCAGAAATTGTGCAAACTGACTTGAAACAGGCTCAGCAATTCTTCTACTGTATCCTACGCTGCTCTGGGTTTTCCTCACCTACTGGCCTGCCACCTGTCACTTCTTTCATCCTGGAACTCAGAGGAAGGGGACAAACAAGATTTCCCCCCCCCCCCTTAAACAAAATAATTTCCACTAAAGGCAAAAAAGGGAGGGGGAGAGAGAGAAGGCCACTTTGAGAGCCTTGCTTTTTTTTTTTTTTCTGTGTAGAAGGAAATATAGTTTCTGATACATTCTTACAATATTGGAAAGGCAACGCTTTTGAGAATTCCTGCATCAAGGGCCAATAAGTTGTACTGCTATTGCAAGTTTGTATGATTTGTTCTAAAGAGCTCTCAGCGGCTATGCCCGTGATCACCTACAGAAACACAGTAGTGTAAAACGTTGTGTTCTTGGCCTTTCTGAAGGGACAGGATTAGTATATGATCTGTAGCGGTATAGGTTTTCCTTGACCTCTTTGCTTTTGTAAGAGCATGTTATCTGCTGTTCTGCAGGAGGCAAAGAATACAAAAAATTGTAGAGGGCATGTGTAGAACCCTTTGCAGACATGAAATAAGGCCTCTGCCTCTTTGGGTCACTGGGTGTAGATTTGTCCCTGCTCAAGGATTCATTTGCCTTCAGATATTCTAAAGCTGCAGCACCTGACCATTGAATACTTTTTACAGTGTGTCTATTTGGTACAGACTTAGTATCTCCAAAAAAAGAATCTAGTTGTGTTTGAAAAAGACTCTGCTGCTTCCACATGGCTCCTTGCATGGCATCTTGGAGCCACTGAACTTCACGAAAAGATGCCTTTAAATGAAGTTTAAAAAAAAAAAAAGAAGAGGAGACAGGGGACACCCAGCACTACACAACCAAAACTCCATTCTTTAAGGAAGTGAACAACATATTCTGTGTTGCTGGCTTAAGCAGAATTTCACTTGACCAGAGCTAATGTTTATCTCAGAGAAAAGGGTTATGGAGATACTGAGAGAGGTTTCCAAGAAACAGGGGGAAAAGTCCTGATTCAAGCAAGGCAAATAATGAGGTGCCTGTCTGTTGGCAAGTGAAACAGCCCAAAATGAAGCTGTAAATGAGCAGAGAGATGAATACACTGTCAGAGGCTGCTTCATAGAAAGACCAGACAAAAGGTTTTAATGAATGCAGAACATCTTGCACCCAGAGAAGACATCATGGTAGGAGGGAACAGTGCAGATTCATAGCAGTAGGTATTCAGCACCAAAACTCACTCTTTTGAGCTCTGTTGGGTTAAAGTAGAACGAAGTAAATGGGTATCTTTACATTTATTTGAACAATTTGTGTGTGAGCTTACAGTAATGGAAGGAGGGGAGATTTGTGGTTTCTGTTCTGTCTAGAGCCCAAAGGATTGCGAGAGATGAATGCACAGCAGGACA